AATTCAACATTTTGATTAGTTTTCTCAAAATATATATGTTTCAAATACCTTGTTTTTACGTCAGCACATTGTATCTAGGGATCGATTTCGTATTAACCAAATCAATAAACAGAGTTTAAACTAAAACACACAAGTATTGATATATATTTAATAAAACAAATTTGTTATAAGAACTTTACACCTTTATTATTAACATATAATTATTTTTATGTTTGTTAAAAACAATCCTTTACGTGTATTAATATAAATTAATCAAATAAAATAAAACTACCTTATTTTCCAAAAATAATAATATAAATTATATAGTACACTCCATACACAGGGTTCGTGGCAGTTTTGAAAATCCCTTTTTTCCTGATTTTCACCTATTTTCAAGTAATTTTTCCCTGAGTTTGTGCAGTGAAAAGTATATACTTTTCCTGTCAACGTTGAAGGATACATTAACAACTGAACCCATGTTCCCTAAACATATAGTTACTATATAAAACCACTGCAGTTAGTAACTTTCAATTTAATAAAGATTCAAAAGTTTAATATTGCAAAATAACTTATTAGTAATAATAACATTTTAGACGCTATAAAAACACAAGCATTCATTGAATAAAAATAATTTGTAATTGTCAACTTAACAGATAAGAAAATAGAAATAATAAATAAATTAAAATTTTAATTAGTTAAAAAATAATAGATACAAAGATGAACAATAAAGTTATAGTATTGAACATAAAGTTTAAATTAAAACTGTGCAGATCACTTAAAAGTTATATTATTGCTTATGTATAAGTAATAACATAACTGATGATGTGGGATTATCAGATTCAAAATAAGCTAGTGGAATTCGTATCACTTTTGATAGCAATTCATCGTAAGATAAAAACATATAAACAATATTTGTGTCGATGAATATCAAAGTTTTTCAATTACAAGGAGAAGTAAAAAAGTTTTCAGTTTTTGAGTAGACTTGTCCAAGAATTTTTTAATTCTCTAATTGCAAAGTGTCAATGAAGCAAAATTTTCCTGATTTAAGTAAATAGGATTCATTATTGTTAGGAGCATTACTTTTCTTTTTTTGTAAAACATGGGAAATGCTGTTATTTATTTCTGCAAATCGTCCAGCAACCTGAAAAACTATTTTTGAAGTCTCTCGTATTGACCGTTTTATTGCAGACATATTGTTTGTGATACGTAAGTAAATGATCTGAGTAAATGACCCTTGCGTTGTTTCCAAAACAACGCTGTTTCCAAAACAACGCAGCAGCGAATGAGCATAATCTTTATACAATGTCATTAGGTCAATGTCAATATTTTTTTTTACTAATTATTAATAGATTACATAATGACAGAATCTTTTAACAATATTTAAATTTTCAAATACTTAATATAATCAAAAGAATCCAGGAAAATCAAATAACACTAACTTAAAAGTTTTGCTAACTTTTTGATATTTTTGTTTGATGTTTCATTTTGTTTGTTGTTTAATTATTTCTATTTGAGATTGTTAAATCTCAAAATCTTGTATCTCATCTTTGAAATAAAATAATATTAACTCCTTCTTTTACTCTTTCTGTATTTAAAACTAATTTTTAAATATTTTTTTTATGGACAGTATTCTTAAATTCTACTAAAAACCAGAGGCAGATGCAGAATTTTTTGTGGGTGTTGCCTTTTTTTTTTTCAAGTTTCCAAATAAGTTAACGAAAATTTTTTTTGTAAAATCCTTCCCCGGGCTAGCGAGGAAGGGGGGATTCAAAGCAGCATTAGTATCTTACCGGGCATTGTTCTCAATTACCCATATAAAACAAAACAAACAACAATGTGGCTATTCTGTTCATAAATTAGACATTTTTTGTTGGACTTTGAATTCCATCTGTAAACTGTCATGTGGCCTAGGATTAGCCCTCCATTTCTAGATTCTTTCCTTTATAAATAAGTCATGTAATTAAAAAAAAATTTAGATTAAAATTAATTATAAATAAATAAATTATGAATCAATATATATATGCTCAAATAAGTAAATCTTGATAGGTTGCTTATTTTTTTTTAGCATTTGAAGCCTAATATTAAATTTGCATGGTAAAAACATATTTATATTATCAAAATTAAAATGGTAAATTTCTTATAGGATAATAATAGCTGCTATATATAATGAGAGTATTATAGCTGTTAGTACAACATGAAAAATAAACATTTTCATACAGTATGAATAGATATAAAACTAACTTAGAGCTAATTTAATTTTTTATAAATTTATGTTAAATTTTTATGAAATTTATGTTAAATTTTTATGAAATTTATGTTAAATTTTTATGAAATTTATGTTAAATTTTTATGAAATTTATGTTAAATTTTTATGAAATTTATGTTAAATTTTTATGAAATTTATGTTAAATTTTTATGAAATTTATGTTAAATTTTTATGAAATTTATGTTAAATTTTTATGAAATTTATGTTAAATTTTTATGAAATTTATGTTAAATTTTTATGAAATTTATGTTAAATTTTTATGAAATTTATGTTAAATTTTTATGAAATTTATGTTAAATTTTTATGAAATTTATGTTAAATTTTTATGAAATTTATGTTAAATTGGTGTTTTCCATCTAATTGTGCTTTTCCATCTAATTGTGCGGTCTTATCACAGAGAACCGCGGAAGAGCATTTAATAGGAAGTTCAAGCCTCCTTCCCAACCGATGTCGCAAAACTTGCTCAGAGGTGGGGTTTGAACCACGGATCTTACGTTTCTGAGGCAAGTGCGCTACCACTGCGCCACGGCTGCACATTGTGCTATGAATAGTCATATACTGAAAAATAAAGAATAAAGGAAAACTATTCCAAATTTTATAACAAAAAAAACAAAAAAAAAATTGTATAAAAAAACAAACAAAATAACACTAAAAAAAACAAACAAAAAAACGCCAAAAAAAAAATATACATATTTTTTGACCCAAAAAACGCCAAAGGAAAAAAACAAGTTTTTTTTCAATTCTAAGCACACCGTCTTTTCCTGTTTTTAATAACTTAAAAAAAAAGTGTTGGAGTTTGTAAAAAAAGTGTTGGAGATTTTGGTAAAGAATTGGAACAAAAAATACATGTTGAAATGTATTGCTGAAAGGATTCGCTTTTTTATATGAAAAAAAATCGAGATTATGTCAAAATATAAAATTAATACAAAATTTGGAGAAAAAAATAATATTTTATGACATAAATAGTTTCAATATTTAGTATAATAATCTGAATTGTCTCTAAAATGAGTATTACCATCTCCTTTCCCTCTTACCATCTCCTTTCCCTGGAGGAGATGGTAATAAAAAAATATCCCAAAATCCATCTATCCAGGAGGAGATGATAAGAGGGAAAGGAGATGGTAATAAAAAAATATCCCAAGATCCATCTATCCAGGAGTGTTTTACCTTTATTTGAAACCTGCAAAGAAAATATACATCAACTATAAGTAAAGTAATGAAACCTAAGTTTTTAAGGTTATTTTTTCTGTTAGAAAATGATTTGAAAACCACAATCTACAGAAGCGGTTGGCTTTACACACTATAGCGGAAATAATTTATTTGAAAAAAAAAGTGTCCACCCGAAACGGTTTACATTTTCAAATCCACGATACATCGTACTACTATATTCTATATTTTGAAAATATTGTCAACATCTTCAAAAAAAACAATAAAAACAAACAAACAAAGATTTCCGAGATCTAGACTCCAGGCTTTCAAGACTAAGACCAAAACTTTAAGTTTCAAGACCAAGATAGTTAAATATGAGTCTTAGATCTCAAGACCTTTATCTCTGGTTGTTAGACCCTGATTGTATTTTGTTCGAAAAAATGTGTTTTTAAAATAATCAATCTTTTGTGTCAGTGGTTATTATCAATGATATCTACAAATCCTTGTTTTAATAATTAAAAAAATTAATTTTTAAATGACTTTTTGAATAATTATTATTCATCATTATTTAGGAAATTATAGAAAGCCTTTTAAAAGTTAGGATATTGAATAATGAGAAAGAAAAAGATGTAAGACAAATGTTGAAATTACATTGCAATAAATGGCTTATTCATGAACATATTCAAAATGAAACAGGTAATGATGATTAAGCAACAATACTAGCTGATTTTTATTTCAGATCGTCATATCTGTTCAGATTTACTCAAAGTATGATTTAACTGGGAAATAATATAATAATTTTTTGTTTACTTAAGTTTTAAAACCATAATTTTACATTTGTATGTCCAAACACAAATCTGTTACAGAACAGTACTGAGAACTTTTAAACTCTTGTTTTGATACGCTATGTTGTTCATCAAATTTAAAAGATGTTTTTGGAATTAGTATTAATAGTATTGTTAATTATTAAAATTATTAATTAGTATTGTTAATTATTAAATTAATATTATTAGTTAACTTTTAAATTAGTATTGTGCGTGCTTTTATATATTTTATAGGTGCAGATGTAGATATTAAATGTGACAATAATGGTAGTATCCAGACAATTTTGTTTCAGAATGGAGAAATGAAGAGATTTTTTTGATTGTATTCTGAATTAATTTTAATAGATGCAAACAAATCTACGTGTGCCATTTTATCATTGATGAGTTTTTTTCGGGAATTTCCAGAATTCCGGAAATTCACTTATAACTACTTAAATTTTCAAAAAATTTCCGGGTGTTTTTGTTATTAATTTGGAAAAAAAATTATATATTTTTAAATAAAATTTTAAAAACGACAACTTTTGCATTAAAACAAATATGTTTTCTATAGTTAATATTTTCACGAGATCAATTTTCGTAACAATTTTTTTTCTTTTTTTTTTTTTTTTTTTTTTTGCTTTTTAATTTATTCAAATTACCTTAAAAAATCTAAATTCCGTATTAATAGTTTACAAAAGTCTTGGTACGTTCCATTTTTAATAAAATAATTTTCTAGTATTTTCCGAGATTTTCATAAAAAAAAAATTCTTAAAAAATGATACTCATCTATGATATATTTTACTGGCAATGGGTCCAAGTGGAGAAAGTGAGATAGTTGCAATTTCTGTAACAGCGTCAGAGGATGCATTAAAACTTTAATGCATCCTCTGGTTCTAGAGACATTTAAATTGAAAAATCTAAAATGGACAGAAATAGTCACTTTTTTACTGATAAAGACATGGCAGAGCGTGACTCTCTGCGAACAACAGTTCCCAGTATTGCTGTTATGCTTGTTTCATGTCTCGCGTTCAATGAGCAGAGAAGTGACTGTTTTAAAAATGGGCATTTGCCAAAGTCAAAGGTTATATGCATTTAGACCAACACTTCAAAAAATGGCATATGCATCGTCAGAATTACAATTTTAAAAACTTTATCATGACTTTATTGAAAAAATGCCAGACAGTGTGGTTAGTTACTTTAAAACCAACTAGAATAATCGCATAACTGAGTGGGTGTTTTGTTATCAGCAAAAAAATTTGACTTTTGAACAAAGAACAACAAACAGATTAGAGTCTGTAAACCGAAGAATAAAATCTGTTTTAAACCTATTAAACCCTCTTCCAATACTTTTTAAAGATCCTTATTTTGTTACAGATGTAATATGTAAGGAGTGCAATCATAACTTTGTTCTTGATAATGATGTTTTAGAGGAGTTTTCTAAAATTCTAACACCTTATGCTTTAAGTTTTAATAGAAGTCAGTTACGTGAAGCACTAAAGTTACACCCTGGAGGCGATAATAATAATCCATTATCTGAAATTTTAGGATAGGAGGTATCAATAAGTGGGCTTAGTTGCCATTGTATTTTTTATAAATCCATGGGATTACCTTGAAAATACAGGTTTGTAGTGAGGCGAATAAAGCAATTACCAATATTTTCATTTGACGGCATTTCAATAAGATGGTTCAAATCTCATGCTACTGAAAATCATCACTTTTTTCAACACCAAAACAAAAACCATAATCATCTAGGATTTGGTGTATTAAAAGAAAGACCTATAACACAAACTGAAAAGTTTAAAAGAGCAAATTGTATCTCTGAGCGATTAGCACAACTTGTTTCTGAAGGAGGGAAAAGTGAGTTTGAAAGCTAAATAAACATCCTTTAAAATTTAGTTAATATTTGGGAAGAACATAAACATGCAGAGATAACTGTTTTGGACTCAGTGGATTTAGTAATTGATACTACATCAAAATGTGCTGTGAGTTCTAGAAGCAACCATAACAAATTGTGTGATTCAACAAAAAAAGCATTTGTTTTGTCGACAACTAACTTAGGTTTGATTTTAACATGCAATGAAACCTTAAATAAGAATAATCACAATTAAACGTTGCTACATTTAGAGCAATTGCCACTAGATTTACACCATACAATTTTGAAAAAAGTGGATTGAATTTTGCCGAAATATCTAATCAACATCATAATGATAATATTGAAGTTCGTGATCAAACTTCGATTAACATAGTAAAAATCTGATAGAAGACAGTGAATTTGTAGTAAAAAGTTTTTGCTTTATTTCATTTTTTATTGTTCCTTTATTATCTGTCAACAAAATTAGTATTACTATTTATTATATTGTCGGTTGATGTTTATTTTTTCAGTTGTCTTTTATCATTTTTCATTGTTTTCAATAAGTTTATTTTTCTGTATAATACTATTTGAAATAGTTAGCAGTGCTTATGTAGAATTTGGTCATAAGTTTTAATAAAAACAGTAATTGTTAAACCAAAGTTTAAAGAAACTACTGCATAACTAATACTTTAAGTAACTAGTAATATAATAACTTTATTTCTATTGTATTTCATATTGAATAGGAACTAAAATTACTAAAATGTCTATTGATATTAAAAAATAATATTACTTAACTTGAAAAAATTCAAAGCGTTAACTTTAAAAGCATAATTAAATCTTTTAGGCAACACGATTCTTTAAATATTCATTCAATCAAAATAAAAGATCTAAAATTTGCTCTAAAGATTAAGTCACGAGGAAGGTCTAAGGCTACAGAGACAAAAACTGCAGTGGGTTTTTATAAATGGAAAAGAAAGTATTTATCTTATACTGATAAAAGTGCAGCCGGAAAAATAAGTGGTTAGTTTTTATGAATTAAAATAATCTAAATTCTAAAATTTTTATCAGCTTTTAAACAATATATCACTTTGTATATATTTGCAATCTCTTGTCTAGTTCTTTTGGGTGGTATTCTCATAAAGGGAAACGTTGAAGATGTTACACATGAAATGCAAGCAGATGTAGGCGAATTTGAATTAAAGCCTGGCAATCGTCCTTCTGCATTTTTAAATGATGGTGTTACAAGAGATATTTTAAAACTGTATTTAACCAAATTTGCCTGAAGAAATCAATTTTGCAACAACAAAAAAACTGGCTGTATGGAGTTGTCCATTCTGTAATTTAAATATATATATATATATATATATATATATATATATATATATATATATATATATATATATATATATATATATATATATATATATATATATATATATATATATATATATATATATATATATATATATATATATATATATATATATATATTTACACACACACCCATATATACATGTACATGTATACATATATATGCACACAAATTCACATAAACATACACACATATCATATATATTTATATGAATTTTTGTCTGAGTATTTATATGAAGTTCATATATATATATGAATTTCATATAAATACCAAGACGCAAATTCGTATAAGTATACGCTCATATATGTGTATATGTGCATATGAATTTGTGTGTATATATATGTATATATGCATATATGATTTTGTGTATAAATATGTATATTGTGTATATATATGTATATATGCATATATGAATCATATGCATATTGTGTATATATATGTATATATGCATATATGAATTTGTGTGTATATATATATATATGTATATATGCATATATGATTTATATGAATTTGTGTGTATATATATGTATATATGTATAAATGCATATGTGTATATGAACATATATATGTATAATAATTGTATATGTGTATCCATATTTGACATATGGATACACATATTCAATTATTTACATTCTAAACAAATACCCATACTCATATACTTATTTTGTAGTTTCATCTTGCATTTTCATGATTAACTCTTTTACTTGTTTTTTTTTTTTTTTTTTTTTTTTTTTTTTTTTTTTAACATCTCCACTTCCAACAAGGCTGCAAGCAACCACTATAAGAGTTGGAAGTTACTGGAAGAGAAAAGACTAAATCTGTAGAGCAAGATAACGATTGACTGATGGCTTAAAAGATTGCAAATTATATGAATCAGGAAAGCAAGATGAAGGAAGCGAATTCCAAAGAACTGATGTTCGAGGAAAAAAACTAGAAGAATAAGAGTTTTTGAAGCACTTAGGAACAGTCACAGAAAAAGGATGAGACTTAATTGAATGGCGAGTAACACGAGAATGAATTTTAGTAGATGGCACAAGGGACGCTAGCTCTTTAGAGCAGTGCCCATTATAGTATTTGTAGAAAAGAGAAAGAGAAGCAACATTACGACGATGTGACAAAGGTTGGAGATTGGCTGCCAGAGCAGGTCCAACTATGTTTACAATTCGTTTTTGCACCTTGTCTAAAAGAGAAAGAGCATCATTAGAAGATCCGCCCCAGATGTGGCAACAGTATTCCATACAGGGACGGATTTGAGATTTATAGAGATAGAGAATAGAATCTGGAGTAAGAAAGTGTCGAGCTCGATAAAGAGATGCAACCTTAGCAGATGCTAATTTTGCAATGGATTTGATATACGGTTTAAAAGAAAGATCAGAAGTAAGAGTTAATCCTAGAAGATGAATGGTAGATGACTCATCTAGTACATTACCATTCATAAATATAGGAAGATCTAAATTATTACGATAACGATTGGCCGAATAAAATTGAGTTTTATCTGAATTAAAGTTCACCAGCCACTGTGAGCCCCATGCTGTAGCAGAAGTGAGATCTTTTTCAAGCTCAGATATCCCCTCCAAGCAATCAGAAAGTGTAGGCTTCTTATCATGACAAGAGTAAATGGTAGTGTCGTCAGCAAATAATGCCACCTTAGATGTGAGAATATCTGGAAGATCGTTAATGTAAATTAAAAAGAGTATAGGGCCAAGGATTGAACCTTGAGGAACCCCTAAAGTTACAGGATGTGAAGAAGAGTGTTGTCCATCGAGGACAACTTTTATACTACGATTGGAAAGAAAGGACTCAATAATCTTAAAGACGTTACCAGCTACACCATAAGAAGAAAGCTTATGGAGAAGACCAGCATGCCAAACTTTATCAAAAGCTTTAGAAATGTCAAGTGCGATAGCCTTAACCTCTCCACCTCTATCTAATGCACGGTAAAACCTATCGGTAATTACTGTTAGCACATCAGCTGTAGAACGAGAAGACCGAAATCCATATTGATGATCAGAAAGTAAGTTATTTGGTTCAAGATGAGAGATTAAGTGTTTGTTGATTAAAGATTCAAAAACCTTGCTTATGACAGGAAGAAGACTAATGGGACGGTAGTTAGATGAATCAGATCGCTCTCCGGAATTTTTGAAAATAGGGATAACAGATGCTGCTTTCCAGCATGATGGAAAACAAGACTCTGATAAGCACTTGTTAAATAGTTTAGAAAGTATGGATGAAAGCTCCGGAGAACACCTCTGCAAGACTACAACAGGAATGTTGTCAGGACCACAAGCTGTTGAAGAGTCTAAGCAGGAAATTACTTTAGATACAGAAGCTGAAGTGATGCGAATGTCAAGCAAGGGATCAACCTGTGTGACGGCTATGTCAGGTAAAACGCAACTAGTGGAATCAAGAGATGATATTGATGAAAAGTTCTTAGCAAACAATTCAGCTTTGTCTTTAGGTGAGGTGACAAAGTCTGAACCATACAAGAGAGAAGGAATAACAGATTTGCCCTTATTATTGATACTGTTAAAGATTCTCCAGAAGTCTCGAGAGCCTTATTTTTGTGATGAGATACGAGATTTAATGACCTGGGAATAGCGAGCTTTGGCGTCAGACAAAACCTTTTTACAATGGTTTCTGGCGATAGTGAACAGATGTCTGTTTTCTGGAGAATTGTTTTGCTGATAGATATGGAAGTAACGGTTTCGATTAGAAATTGCTGCAGCGCAATGTGAGGAAAACCAAGGAGAAGAGTGAGGCTTGAACTGGAATCGTCGAGAGGGAATAAAAGATTCCATGCCAGCCTGAATCCACGAAGTTATGTAAGAAGCACATTTGTCAGCAGGAAGACGAAAGATTTCTACCCAAGGGCCATCACGAAGAAAATCACGGAAAGAGTCCTAGTCAGCTTTAAGGTAGTTGTATGTGGTACGATGATAGGGGGATTCTGATGAAGTAGAAGAATTTGATAATAGTTTTAGAGAGATCAAACCGTGATCAGAAGTACCTAAGGGTGAATGTGGAGAAATTGAGCACTGACTAGGATCCAAAACAAGACATAAGTCGAGTAGAGAAGTTAAATGATTAGGGTTGTCTGGAAAACGAGTTGGAAAGTTGACTATTTGAGTTAGAGATTGAGAAAGGCAAAAGTTGAGGGCCTTAACGCCAGCAGAGTCACTGACACTAGAGCCAAGCCAATCGGTGTGATGGGCATTAAAGTCACCAACAACGACGATATTGGCCGATGGATAAAGAGAGAGGGCTTGGTCAATTTGATCAGAAATAACATCAAGAATAGTGCAATCTTGGGATGAAGGAGAGCGATATAGAACAAAGAGAAAGGCGATAGAGTGAAGTTGTGCTAAACGAAAGCACATAAATGAATAGTCTGTAGATTCAAACCTAGTTTCACGACAAATGGGTGAGTTCTTACGAATGTAGATGCCCAGGCCAAGCATGTGATTATTGGAGTCTTTACGAATTAAAGGAAGATAACCATCAACACTAAGATCACAAGATGAGACAGCCGAACTCAAATTAGTCTCACAAAGAGCAAGTAGGTCTGGTGAACTTTGCAAGAGATAAGACTCAACAGAAGAAAAGTTACTTCGAAGACCACGAATATTAGTAAATGATAGGTTAAGAGAACTTGGTGATGACAATGGTTTTTTTGTGTTTTTTAGTTTTAGGTACTTTAGTCATTTTAAATTTATAAAGAACTTGACTCAAGTATAGATAGTACTCAGTACACTATTTAACAACTAAGCAATTGCCTCATTACTATTAATAAACCCTAAGCCGTAACAAAGGGCTCCAAATGTGGCCTCTGCAATGCACACCAAAAGTATAAACAGGGACACCATCCATGCGCAACATGGCACTGTTAGTACTCTGATATTTTTCGGCTGTTGATGGAATCAGCCTCTCTGAGAGCTACCACAGAGTTCGGGAAACCTGACTACCAGCCGGCCTCAGAACCATAAAACTGAGTTTTAGAGCTGCACCCTCATTAGGAGATAATAAAATGAGTTGCCCAGTCATAAAAATAGAGACACAAGCAATACCGACGCATTGAGTCAAGAAGATCCAGCGTTCAACATCCTAAACTGGAAACAATGTATTAAAAATACATCTGCGCCAGCCTAATAGATGAGGAAGGGGTGCGAGGCTGGTCAACAGATAGAATCTGTTTACCCCTTAAGTCTTTGCCTAGGAGGCCTTCTACAAGACAGCAGCTGGATGCATGTAACATCTGCCCAAGATGAGTATTTTTATCGAGACACCATCTCTAGCCTTTACTCAACCAAGAGCCCCAAGGCAGGGGGTGTTTTAATTCAGAGTTAACTTCTCCTAGCCTTTGCCTAAAAAAGCGTATCCTACAAGGCAGCAGGACATGGAGCAGGTTGTACTGGGTTACATGTTACCAGTAGCAGGAAAACCTGACCTGACCTAACCTTTATATTTTAAATTATATATATATATATATATATATATATATATATATATATATATATATATATATATATATATATATATATATATATATATATATATATATATATTTAATTTAATATTATAATATATAATTTAATATTATAATATATAATTTAATATTATAAAATTATAATATATTTAATATTATAATATATATATATATATATAATTAATTTATATATATATATATATATATATATATATATATATATATATATATATATATATATATATATACACATATATATATATATACTTAAAATATATACATATATATATATATATATATATATATATATATATATATATATATATATATATATATATATATATATATATATATATATACATATATACATATATATATATATATATATATATATATTAGGGTGATTCAAAAAACAACTTTTTTAAAAATAGTCTCCCGCTCCCAACTAAATGTGTTCTATACAACACAAAAACACCAGGTTTAAAATTTTTCCGAACAAAAAAACACCTTTAGGGGTGCCTCAAAACCCTTAAACACCCGACAGTTTAATAAACCCGAGTTTAATAAACATATTTCTATTTACTTGTTTGGCAGATTTTTTAATTTCACTAGGTAGGGAATTCTAGGAATGAACTGAATGATTTTTTATTGATTTGATACCATACCTATATGTCTCAGACATATAAGTAAAACATTGTCAGACATTAAAATAAAAGTTAGAAATTGACATCAAAGCAAACATAGTTTGCTTTGATGAAATTGATAAGTTGTTGCAAGATATTTAATATTTAAACATTTTGATATAAATATGAAAAGGTTCTAATATGATATATAAATATGAAAAAGTTCTTATATCATATAAGAACCTTTCCATATTTAAGTCATTATTTAAATTCCTAGAGAGTTGTCAAGTCTGATAATGTCGTCTAATTAAAAAATAGATTTGGTAGTTATTTATCAAAAAAGTTATATGAATATTGCAAAACAATTTGACTGCTATAGTCTATTATTTGTTAGCTAACAAACTGCTAAAGAAAATATTCTGTTAACACGTTTACGCCGGCGTGTACCACTGGTGGTACACACTAGACTGTCTCATTGGGCGGCGTGTACCACTGGTGGTACACACTAGACTGTCTCATTGGGTGGCTTGTACCACCAATGGTACACGCCGCCCAATGAGACAGTCTAGTGTGTACCACCAGTGGTACACGCTGCCCAATGAGACAGTCTAGTGTGTACCACCGGTGGTACACGCCGGCGTGAACGTGTTAATCTAAATAGATTCACAGAATATTTTCTTTAGAATTTATATCTATAATAAATAAATAAACAAATAGTGAAATTTTTTTTTATTTATTATATAGTATCCTAACTTTTAAGTGAATTCAAACTGAAGTTATTTATCAGTATAACACTATGTATATAAAGTAAATTATATAGTATACTGTATATATTATATGAACAAAGTAACTTTAGGCTTTTAAGGTAATAAATTTTGGGCGGTAAGAGAGTATTTAGCTAGAGCCCAGACCAGCCAGTACTCTACCATGAAGAGTTAAAGATCCAGCAGCCGGTACTGTAGCCACTGCGTTACTTTTAATATTATAAATCGTAGTATATTTTTGCACTTTTGTAAAATGATCACATGCATAAATTTTATTTAAAAGTAGCATATTAAGTTATAAAGAGTATTTTAAAAAAACGTTATTAAGTTGTCACAAAAAAAAAAAAGGATTGGAATAGTAAAAAGAGACATACAACAAAAAATGATTCAACTTCATTAGATTCGAACTAAATTAATAATGAATAAAAAAAGATGTAAATGTTAATGTACATTGATAAAAATTAACTTTTAATATTTATTGAAAAAAATTATATTTTTTACTATATCTGCATTGCCGCGAACGCGGCAGTGCAGATATAGTGAAAATTGACTGTCTTTTTGTAAAGGTTAAATCATGGAGCTTCTTAAGAATAAATGCATCACCTTATGTAACCTTACCTTGCCTTATGTAAACTGAAAGATTTAAAAATACTTTGATCAAGCTTATGATTACATGGTAAATTTGAATTATTTTTTTTACCATCACACCTTTTCTTTAGAATCAGCTATGAGTATTGAAATTAAGCAAGGAGATGAGTTTTCTGAGTTTGAAAATGAATTGATTGCATGGTCGAGTTTACAAATGTTTTATGGACTAAATCTAACAGCAAAACTGTAACATTAGCAAACAGGCTTGTGCTTGAGCTTGCGCAATGGTTCTAAACCTAAAAGTTTAAATTTAGAAATGTGATATATTTATGAGCAGAAGGGAAAGGACTTCGTCCTAATCAAAGGTTAGTTTTTGTTTTTTGTTTACCGGCATTAAGAGTGTCATTTTGATCTATATTTAACAGATAAACATTTAAAGTAAATTTGCAATCTTTATTTAACTATAAAGAGCTTTAAAGAAGGTAACCTTATTATGGTTTTTTTTTAATATATAAAGGAGGGCAAAAAAATTAAAAATAATACATCATAAGTTATACATTTTATTAATTTAAATAAAATAGTGACATTCCTTCCTATCTACATCTTATGATAACATTCCTTTTATTTATATGTTTGAATGAATATTTTTCTATAAAGACAATCTTTCTTTTTTATTTTTTATTTGTTTTCTATTAATATATTAGAATATATAAGGCATTTATATTTATATGCTTTATTTTAAATTACTTTACATTGAAATGAACAGTGCATATTTAAGAGTTCAGCAAATTTAGCTTTAAGATATCGAAAAAAAGAAAACTTAAAAAAGAACTGTTCTCTAAAAGAGGAGAACAACTTTATTATTAAAACATATTGCTGGTGACAAGATGCTATGTTTGTTAGTTATGAATAGTTATTATGAATAGTAATAGCAATCGTTTTGATATGTCGAATATACAATAGAAAAATTATTTTTAATTACCATTAAATACCATATTGTTTTTAAATACACTATGGTATTTTAAACTAGTGTAACTTAAATTAAGTTAAATTAGGCAGATTTTTGTAGTGACAATGAGTAAGCAACTTACTTTTTGTAGTGACAGTGAGTAAGCAACTTACTTTTTGTAGTGACAGTGAGTAAGCTACTTACTTTTTGTAGTGACAATGAGTAAGCAACTTACTTTTTGTAGTGACAATGAGTAAGCAACTTACTTTTTGTAGTGACAATGAGTAAGCAATTTACTTTTTGTAGTGACAATGAGTATTACAATCCTTACTATCAATCTTGTAAGCGAGCTTTATCTAAAAATGCTGATAAAGAGAAGTTATTAAAAAAGCAGCACTCTGTTAAAGATCTTAAAATGTTTTCTAAAAAAAACTCTTTTGAGATCTTGTCTGATTTGCATATTAATAAAGTACAACAGTTTTTAGCTATTCAATTTCCAGATGTGCAAGGATTGCAAGACCCTATTCTTGGATCAAAACTTCATTTTAGAGTACAAACTGGAAAATTTATACACATTTTAAATAATGGTGAAATGCATTAGTATCGGCCTATTTCAACTTTTTAAGCACGGATCAAAACTAAGTAGATATTCATGACTCCTTATATTCTGATTTTGATATTTTTGACTCCTTACATCCTGATTCTGAAGGCTTTGTGCAAAGATGCAAGTAGGATCAATTATAAAGGTTAAAGGTCCCCTTATTATAATTACAGTTCAAAGATTTTCAAAAACAATTAGGTGGGCTAGATTGTGGTCTTTTTGCACATGCAGCAGCAACAGATTTATATGACAAAAATGAGCCTTGCATAAAATGTTATATGCAAGAACTGATGCGGGAGCATTTATTAAAATGCTTTCGTGACAATTATTTAGCTCCATTTCCTACAGAGACTTATGAGCGAAAAAGGGAAAAACCACTCAAAGTACTTTATTAACCCCTTTATTGCATATGTTATATCAGGGAGACCCTGATAATAAAGAAGAAAAAATGGTTGAGTATGAAAGTTATAAGGAGTGGTTTCATGTAACATGCCTTTCCATTCCAAAGATTATATTTGAGAATCCTGATTGCCCTTGACATTGGCATTGCAATTCATGCAGCTAACATAGGTTTTTTTATTTTTCGTGTTTTTTTTTTTTTTACAGTTTTTTTTTTCTTTTTTCTTGTAGGGTGTTTTTTTTTTTATAAAAATTAAATTAGCTATATATATATATATATATATATATATATATATATATATATATATATATATATATATATATATATATATATATATATATATATATATATATATATATATATTCTTAGAATTTAAAAAAATGCTTACTCCTGAAGATTCTCCTTACCCCTAAAGATTTTATTGAAAGAGGTCTTTTCTCTTCATTAAGACCTAATGCAACTAAACGCTCGAATTATGAATGTCCAAAACAGTTGGGTATATCTTTTTCCTTTGGCAAAGTAATTATCTAATTTATACCCTACACTCTTTAAAGCTGTTTTTTTATGAGAATAAACGCACAGAATAAGTATTTGCCATATTTAATTTACTAACATGTATATTAATACAAAAATTACATAATTTTTTTTTATTAAAAAAATATAGTATTTTTTTTATTAAATTTTTTTTTATTAAATAAATAAAAATATAATTAACATTAAAAAAAAATGTTTTTTGTATCTTAATTTTAGTTTTTTAATTGGGAATAGCTGAAGACGAAATGATTAGACGTGAAGTAAGAAGAACTTTGCATTCTGATGTTATATTTTATATATTTGAAATATGGAAATATATACTTTTTTTTAGTTCGTTATTTTTTTTTGCAAATAATATAAGTTATCAAGCTAATAACGTCTGTTTTCTCCCTAGCAGCTGCGCATATTTAACTGTTTATTAATAACTCTTAAATTCATGAGCTATAGAGAGAGCTTTCTTAGAAAATTATAAAAATTCTAGATGCAAATTTGTATATAGAAAATTATGCAATGTTTTATATTTTGAAAAAAAATTTAATAACACTATCGGGTGGACACGGAAAAATCCGGTCTACTTTAAATTGAGATTTCTCCAAAACCACAAATGCTTTTTTTTTAATTAAACCTTACTTCCTTATTTTAAATGGTGGTGATAAATTTTTGTTTACAAATTAATGATTTGCAAAATATTTTGGAAACAAATTGAGGTGCGTATAAAAGGAAGTCGATGGATTTTTTTTGCAAAAATCCATTGACTTCCTTTCGCTTAATTGTTAAACGCACTAATGTCCCAAAATATACAGTCATAGATATTATAATCAAGTTCAAGACTACTCAAAGCTTCTAAAGAAAACTTGGAAGTGGAAGAAAATTTTTTTTTTCCATAAATCCAAAAGGGGAAATTCGATTTTACATTCAATAGCAAGAAATCCAAACCAGTCACCGTGAGATATAACAAGAAAATTCAAGACTTCTCGTTTTTATATCAAAAAAGTACTTAAAAATGCTGGAATTAAAGCATTTTATAAAAAAAATACACCTTAGAGAACCCTAAATTGTAAAATTAAAGAAATTCGACGCGCAAAGAAGTTGATTAAAATAATGGCGGATAAAAATATATGCATAATTGAAGACAACAAAACGTTTTGCAAGGCGGATTTTTCACAACTTCCTGGTCAACAGTTTTACTATGAAAACAAAGATAATTCTGTTGATGATCAATTTAAATATATTCCACGAGAAAAATTTGCATCCAAGTTCCTTGTGTGGCAAGCAATTTGTAGTTGTGGTATGCAGTCCTTTTGTTTTGTCACTAAAAAGACCTTAACTGCCAATCTCTACATCAAAGAATGCCTCCAAAAACGACTTGCCTTTTATTAAAAAAAAAAAAAACGATGTCTCTTTTGGTCCGATCTTGCTACCACTCACTATTCTAAAAAGTTCTACAGTGGTGCAAAGATAATAGTGTGAAAACTGTTCCTAAATATGCGAATCCTCGAAATCGTCCTGAAGAGCGCAAGATTGAAGATTTTTGGGCAATAGTTAAAGGAGTTCTTCGTAAGACAGGTGGAGTAACAAATAATAAAAAGGACTTCCAAAAAAAGTGAATTAATGCCACCAATATAGTGAAAAAAGAAAAAATCTATGAAATGATGGCATCAACCCGCTATAAAGTTCGATTTCTTGCCAAACAACCCATCAAGTCCCTTAAAATTAAGTTAAGATTCAATTTATGTAAACACATTTACAAATAAAAAAGTTGAAATAAAAAGCATTTATGGTTTTAAATAAATCTCAATTTAAAGTTGACCGGATTTTTCCGTGTCCACCCGATAAAATATTCTTTTGCATGTTTTATACAAGTTGAATATTATACATAAAATATATAAAACCAATATATAAATACATAAAGTTCATCTCTTTAAATTTTAATTTTTTAAAATTGAACTTTTTTACTGTTGAACATTTTGTCACATGACTTGAGCAGGTTAGTTTCCTATTTTAAAATGTAATGGCTTTTAGTAATTTGACCAAGTAAAGTTTATTCAATGTTGGTTACAAAGTTTAGTTGTCACATATTATCAGATATGTGACAACTAAATATATTTGTTGATTTGCTAACTATTTGATGTAAATAATGCTCAGCAGTGCGTTTTAGTGGAATAGAGGCCACCACTTCCCAAAAAAAGTTTCATATACTTGCAAAAGAGTCCCTTTACTTGCAAATTAGTCCCCTGAATTCGCTGAGCTTATCCCGAATGGGGGTGTGGGATAGCATAGTCATGGCTCTGATGCTCTGTTTGTTTGGCAGTTTTTTAAAAGTTAAAAGTTCCACCTTCATTCTAATTAAAAAAATAGTATAATTAGAACTACCAACAATAATTATATTAGAATATTTGTCAATGACCATTAGGGTGATGCTACTTTTTATTTTCTCATGAAACCTTTTCCATAATATGAATAAATATATTCTAAGAACAGTTTAATAAAAAATAATTAAATACTGTAAAATTTTATTAAGTCAAAAAAAAAGTTACTTTATAGAAATAAGAAAAAAATATTTATCAGGATTACTTAAATAATTATCCTTAACTAGTGAATATTTATATCGTTTTTAAATTAGATGAAGTTAATAGTTATTATATTATAAATTAGGCTTAACTATCATTGCTGTAAAAACAAAGTACTTTATTTAGTTTTCTAATTTAGTGATAAATATATTTTCATAAATATGTCCCGCATAAGACCCTGCACCACCATAAAAAGTTGTTATACAAATAATAGTGAAGGATTTGGAGCTGTGCTGGTATATTAAATTTCGCCTATCGTCAGTACATCACATCACAAAAAAACTAAATAAACTTACTTACAAAAAGAAGTTTTTTTGGTATTTTAAGTCGACATTATTCTACAACCAGTAAAGCTATACAAAGTAAGTATTATTTAATATGTATTAAACTTATATAATTGTTATTTATCATTTATACTCTTATTTGAATCCCAAACTTGCTAATATTACTGGGGGCTATTCTTGACCCTTTTCAACAACATTAAACATATTTGATTCACTTTTTTTTTTTTTTTTATAGCAAATGTTAAGTTTTTTTTTAATGGTAATAAAATCCTTTTATACATCAATGTTTCCGCTTGATGTTATTGATTTGTTTGTTTGTTTACAAAATCTATCTTTTAAACAAACAAAAATATCGATGACATCATGTACTAAAACTCGAAGGAATAAAACACGCTTGAAGAAATTAAATCTGTATATTTTAAACTTTAAATTTAAATTTAAAGTGGTTAAATATAAAAAATGTATGAAGAGAACATCGTGACAAAAAAATAAAAATGAAGAGCAAAGAACAAATATTTTATGATCATTAAATGGCTGATGGAAAGAGCTGCGTATCCACCAGTCAAAAAATTGTTGAGCATCCTGCTAAATAGGCAATTGATGCAGAATCGAGCTCTCAAAATGATAATGACTCTGATGGTTTTGAGCCTTCGTTCAAATTACCCAAAAGAAATTTAAGTTAAAAGTAATAATTCTTCTTAAAATAAAAATTACTACTTTTTTTGTAAATATATTTACTTTGTTTTTAATTAAAGGCAATGTCAGTTGTTGTGCACAGAAGCTCTACCCACAAGGAGCTAGAGTAACTCGTCATCAAGTTATTTACATAATGATAATGAACTCTTTTTAAACTTAATGCAGTTTTGTCATAATATAATGCATACTTTGTCAATTTAGACATCCTTAATTTTACATTTTAATGGGAAAGCTGTGGAAAATTTGATTATGGCATTAAGAAAGTGGAACGTTATTGTCCTGCAGTCAGAGGAACCAATTTTGTGGTACATTGGCCTTAAACACTACATACTAGTGAAACTTCTTAAAATCTAGCAGCTGTTAGTTAAGTTAAAAGTTAAATTACACGGAGCGGGCGTGTTTCGTAAGCCCATCAACAGCTAGCCGTGCTAGCTCGTGCGAAATTGCACGGAAGATGATGCGCTGTAGTAATTATTAAAGCTGATCGAACTTTCCTTTGAAGCGATCGACACTAGTAGCACTGACTACTACGTTAGGTAATGCGTTCCATTGGTGAGCGACGCAGTTGTTGAAGGAATTATAGCGAACGAGGCAGTTGTTGTCCATTTCACGATGAAAACGCTTGCGATGACCGTAGCTAGGTGAGATGTTAGTCTTGTCGATACTGTTTTTGAATTTATATTTTTGAATGAGGTCGCCGCGTAAACGTCTATTTAATAGAGAGGTGAGACCGAATTTGATGCATTTTGTCTCGTAATCGAAGCGCTTTATTTCGTGCAGTACTTTGGTAACCCGATGCTGGCACTAGGCAGTAACGGCAAACTCGAGATGTGGGCGTATATAAGTGGTGTAAAGTTTATTCCATATTCTGGTATCTCTGCTTATAAACGTGTTTTTCAATGTCCCGAGGACTTTATTAGCCTTGGCAGCGGCTTTTTGTGCTTGCCTCTCATATTTTAAGTCGTTGGAAATTTGAACGCCTAGATCTTTTTCGGATGTTGAAGTCATTAATAAATATTATGAACAGCGTAGAACCTAGCACTGAACCTTGCGGAACGCCACTGGTAACCTTTACCCAGGTGGATGACGTATTACCTAATATAACACGCTGTGATCTATTTGAAAGGAAAGCTTTTATCCAGTTAAGAACGTTACCTTCGATTCCGTAGGATTCAAGTTTTTGAAGTAATCTTCTGTGAGGGACTTTATCGAAGGCTTTGGCGAAGTCAAGAAAAAGAAAATCTACAGGAAGTTTGCGAAAAACGTTGTAGGTCAGAAAGTCCATGGCCTCAAGCAGATTCGTGACGCAGGTTTTTTTATTGACGAAGCCGTGCTGGCAATCGGCAATAAGTTTATGAGCTACAAGGTGTTGCATGATCTTTTCTTTAACAATTTTTTCCTTTTATTTGCACGATACTGAGGTGATGGAGATAGGCCTTTAGTTTTCTGGGTCGAGTCTGGAGCCTTTTTTGAACAGTGGCGTCACGTTTGCCGAGAGCCACGCTTTTGGGACTACACCTTGATCCATCGATTTCTGAAAAATGATGGCAAGCGGGGTAGCCGCGGCATTAGCGCATGCTTTAAGCACAAATGGACTGATACCATCACCTCCAGTTGATTTATTGGCGTTGAGAGCAGATAGGTGTTTGTGAACGGAATCATAGCTGAAGATGACGGAGGAGATTAAGGCGGTTGTACGTTTAACAAAGGGAGGTAGTTGTTGATCTGATGGTTCAATTGTGAATACTGACATCCATATACCACGCATCCATAGCCAATA